GGTCCTAATTATCTAAATCATAAACTATAAACTCTAAGATGGTGCATTGATTTTTTTGCCTATATTTGGACGAATCATAACCGTCGATTATTATTTCTAACTAAATTGATCTTGGGGTATAAGATTACGTGAATTAAGACCTATATTTTGATCTTTATGGATTAGACTATAGTATCATGTCCGAAAGATCAGTCAATTCGAGGTCTAGATAGCGTTTTTTTACTCAAGGTATGCGGTACCCCGGATTTTACCCGGGGTACCGTAGAACTCACCATATATATATATATATATATATATATAGCCTTTGCCATATATATATATATATGGTGCCTTCTACGGTACCCCGGGTGAAATCTGGGGTACCACATACCTTGAGTATGAAAACGCTATCTAGACCTCAAATTAACAGAATTTTTGGGCATGATACTATACCCTAACCCTTAATGAGTGAACCCTAGGTCCTAATTATCTAAATCATAAACTATTAATCCTAAGATGGTGCGTTGATTTTTTGCCTATATTTGGACGAATCATAACCGTCGATTATTGTTTCTAATTAAATTGATATTGGGGTATAAGATTTAGAGAATTAAGACAAAGATTTTGATCTTTAAGGGTTCGAGTATAGTATCATGTCCGAAAGATCAGTCAATTCAAGTTCTGGATAGCGTTTTCTTACACAAGGTATGCGGTACCCCGGATTTCACCCTGGGTACCGTAGAACTCCCCATATATATATATATATATATATATATATATTATTTTAAATAATAATTAATTGAAATTAAGATATACCCATGTGGCATAATTGCCACATCAGCAGGTATTGGCCACGTCATAGTCAACTAGCGGTTGAACGGACGGAAAATTAACGATTTTGCTATTAAATTATTTTCGAAAAGGTTTGACTATTATTTTGTTTAAAACGAAAGGTTTGACTATTACATTGTTTTTATCCATTATTTAAAGAATAAGGTAGCGTATAGCTCGAGTGTGTGTTAGATATTGCTAAATATAAGAATTTTGTATGATGATTTGCAAGTTATCCTGATATAAGAATAAGATTGGTAATTTTTAACAAATGGTCGATCGACGTACATCGTCTTCAAAGCTCTCATCTGCCTTTCTTAATTGTTTTTTTTTCCAAAAGTAACGTTCGCAGCGGAGAACAGTTAACACACGAGGGGAAGCCTTGTTGACAGAGATAGATCAGCTCAGGAAGCAGTACCAAGTGTTTGTTGTGCAGTTTATTAGTAGGCAAAACAATCGGGTGGCTCATTTAGTAGCCAGAAAAACTTTTTTTTGTTTTCTACAAGTGTGCTGGGATGTAATTTTCATTTCTGGCTTTTGCCAGGAATGTGAACTTTTGTACCTTTGTTTACTTGATAATTCAAATAGGATATTGACAAAACCAAAAACAAAAATCCTTGTGTTCTAGTGTAAGTAGAATATTTTCATGGATGTAAAGGACAAAAATGTTCTTTTTGAACCTGAATATGTTGGAGACGTTAGGGAGAAGATTCCCCTTCCACCCCAAGTATTCTCTATACTTTCCATTCCATGGGTTTAGTTACGTTATTGCCTGGTACTCTGTGACTTCTTCAAGCGGTACAACTTACATCTCCACTTTTAATTATGAAGGTTATAATTTCCTAATTTTCCTCTTGTCCTAGTTCTCAACTGTCGTCCTTCCTAGGTTGTGCCCTTTTTGTTCGTAGTATACATTCTTCCAGACCAGAATATATAACTGCTACATATATATATGTATCTGCTTTTCTCGATCGTGACAGTCATGGCTTTTACTGGGATGTTATTGCACTTTTCTAGTTTCAAGGTGGAATCCTTCCACTTACCTCTCTTTAGGAGATGGTGTTGTTTTTTGTGTCTAATCTAGTTTTTTCATATATGTGTTATATATGCTGGTGGTGGATTGAGGGAACAGTGGATTTTCTGTTTGGCTTGCAGTCGGTTTCGTGGCCAATTTGTTTACCCTCCTTTCCTTTGTACGTAGGTGGATTCGCTCATCGTCTTCCCCTTCATGTGTTTCTTCCTCGCTGATGATAGATGATGAGAGTACTGATGGTGTATTGTTTGATTGTTAGTGTAGCTGCTTCATGGCGTTTCAGTGTGTAAAGATAATTAGCGCTAGGGTTTGGTTGGGCTTGTTATTGGTTGTGGGAGTTGGGTGTACTTTAATTTGATCTATGTTTCTTTCTTCTAACCTTCTTTAATTGATTGAATCTGGTCCATTGTATTAATGAGTTCCACTTCCCTGTCAAGTGGCAATCATCCAATCCAAGTACCAAACCTAGCGAGCGAGCTACCAACGTACCACATCCACATGCATGCATTTAGATCATCATAAATATTCATCATCTACCTTTTCATGCGAACGAGCATCGTCTATCTGTCCAATGACAATATTACCATTTAGATCAAAGGGGTAAGTTAATTAGTTTCAATCTGCCGTCTAATTTAGTAACGCAATTTTCGTTTTACTACAAATCCAATGATGGTCCATCGAACTACGAGATACGTGGATGTACATACGTCCAAGTATGTATTGCACAAGGTCAATGAGGCAATACATGCATAGATTGGTGAAGAGATTGAATTCATATTATCCTCTGTTTTCTATTATTATCGTTTTGGGGAGTTTGATACAAGAAGAATGAATTTCATATGAACCCCATGACGTGTTCAATTTTGGGCCAACCAGAATTTGAGGCTGTTAGGAGCACAAGGTGGCCCTATTGATGTCGTGACGGTAATGGCACATATATAAAATGTAATCCCCGCGCCGCATTATATTCGTTTGCCCAAAACAGAAATTACGTACAAAAACGTATCCTAGCTAGCTAGTGGTGCCTAGGGGTGTTCAAATGGTTACCATGGTTATAACCAAACCAAATAAGGCTAAATTCCATTAACTATAGAATACAATATCATAACCAAACCGTCCAAACTAATACAACAACCAAATTAACCAAACTAAAGTTCAATCGGTTTGGTTAATTGGTTAACCAGATTAACCAATATAAAATCACATTATCATTGACGATGAAAATTTTCCGGTTAATGCAACAATTCGCAATTTATATAATGAATAAAACATAATACTCAACACGTAGTTATAGTTGACCCTTAACAAAAATACATGCAACTAAAACAATTATCTTACGATTAGTATAGAAGTATTCACCTAACAAAAATTTATGACAATGCTATGGGTTAATGAATTGTTGTGTTTGTGTAAATTGACTTAGTCTCTTAGCAATTATCATAGGCTGGAAATGACCTTCCTTTCAAGTTTTCATCCATCATAATGTATAAAATTTATCTAAATTAGGCGTCCATATGTTGTGGTCTACATTTTACATCTACGAGCAATATTGAGCTTTATATTTTATGAGTCTAAAAGGGATGAACATTAACTCTTGAGTGGTTATGCAAAGTATTAAGTACGTGTATATAATATATGTTAGATATATGACTAATTATTTAACTGGTTAATTTGGTTTGACTGGTTAGGAGTGTCTGAAACCAAACCAAATCACCTAAACCAAACAAGCTAAAAACTTTAACCAAACCAAACCAATTATGCAAATTAACCAAACCAATTTATCCAAATAGTACCGGTTAAAACGGTTACCATGATAACCAAACCGTTTGAACACCCCTAGTGGTGCCGACGATGGGGACGGAATACTCTCCTCGAGCTTATGCTGATGTGATTTATTATCGACTCGTTCATGTCTAAATTACTTTAATTTTGATAAAAATTATTTATGATTTTATTTTTATTATCTCATATTTATTTATAGTATAGTTATATAAATAAGTAAAATCTTCATTTTCTCGAATAATTTAATTATATTTATTATATTATAGTTTGTTTCTTGATTTTTAGTAAAAACTTAATGATCCTAATATTTTCTTTTAAAATTACATATCCCTATTAATCGACATATACCCGATCCGTACTCTGTGACAAATTACCCAACCTGTTCTTAATGGCAAAGAAAAATAACATCGAAGTGCATAAGCTTTGAAACATATATATCACATCAATGAGTCAGATAAACCCGAAAGAGAGGATTCATCATATAGCTATAGGGTACGTGCTCAATATATTGAACGCCAACAGGTAGCACTTCCTAAACACATAAAATCATTCTGACCTCCCTTTGAAGTTAGAAAATGATGAGTAGGAAAGAATGGTTTGGGTAATAAGCATATGTTGACGGTACGAAGCAATTAATAGATAATTGACAGTAACAACTTAGTCGATCCAACATGTATTATTACACAGAGTTTACTTGTTCGTGTATATATCCAATTTTTTCGAATCTTGATTTTGTCCTTAGTTTTTAGAATTTAAACTTAAACAAATGTGGTCACACCAATAATATTTCCCCATAAATATATCTAAATAATGCATTTGAGATTGCCAAGGCATATGCATCTCTCGTGTTATGCTTCTCTAAAATTAGGTTAGTAGATGTGACGCACCCATTTAATAATCATAGTAAAATAAAAAGGGCAATGTCTATTTTTTACCCAAACTTTTTTCAGATTCTTTTATTTTAACCAAACCTATTGAATTCCTAAAAATTATCCAAACGTTAACTCTCCGTCAACTTTTCTGTTAGTAATGCTGACTAAGTATGACCATAATGAGTTGACTTCCTACGTGGCGGTCATAATACTATCATTTACTATTTTTAATAAAAAGATTATCAAAAAACAAAACAAAATCCCACCTCTCACGTGGACGAAATAAGTAACGGTAACAGAATGAATGCCCAGACTTTGATAAATTATAATACGTTTGGATAATAAGTAGAATTTCTATAGGTTTGGTTAAAATAAAAGAATCTGAAAAAGGTTTGGGTAAAAAATAGACATTGCCCAAATAAAAATATAATGTCTGTGATCGTCATCTTTGCAAGACAATGTAACATATAAATTTCTTGAATATTCATGAGGACGGTAATTATATTCAGCATCAACCAATGGTCCCATTATAAAAACAAAGTAAAAAAACAAAAAAATAGAAGGAAAATCTTGACAGTCAATTCTCCATTTGCCAACGTACCCTCTTTATAAATACGGCCACGCCACACCTTTTCTCATCATCAACATACTCCAAAACCAACAGTAGCTTGATCTTCTCCAATATTTCTCTGGCCTGGCCTCCTCCTTCCCCGCTCCAAATTATTGCCGTTGTTGTTGTTGCTGCTGTATCGCTGAGGCATGCAGAGCATTATTGATGCCTTGAGCGCCGGCCACGACGACAATGGCGGCCAGATCAATATTGCAAAGAGGGAAATCAAAGGCACCGTGGTGCTGATGAAGAAGAACGTGCTGGAGTTCAATGACTTCAACGCTTCGATCGTTGACCGTTTCGACGAGCTCTTAGGGCGGGGAGTTTCCCTGCAACTCATCAGCTCCGTTCATGGCGATCCTCGTAAGTCTTTCTCGACCAAAGCATTTTCCTTCATCCACCTCCTTTGAGAAGAGAAGAGTACCAAGTATTATTTAGTAGTACAGCTTTTTACTCGAATGACAATTCGTTTGGTCTATTTTGATTGACAAGGACATGGGTACTCTCTTCAATATTGGATCGGATCGGATCGGATGTATCCGCCTAATTTTCAACTATCTTTGTTTAAATTATATGTTATATTACTTAAATTACTTGGAGTTTTAATTTTTTAACCTTATATTTCAAGTATCCTGCTCAAGTTGTAAATATGTGAGAATCTTAACTTCTAAAATAATCTAACTACATGATACAATCTTTTATTTTATATTGAAAAAATGAATATTTATAATATCATTTTTTAATTACATACATATATTGGTCGACCTGCTTCGGCCGACACCCACGATAAATTATCCGGCGTGAACTTAATCTGCCATGGAGCAAACATGATTGTTAAATACTACCCGATCCTGCCCCTCAACATTCCTACTTTATAGGTGTCATTTGGAACCTCTGATTCCATATGTATTTTCAGTATACATGTATTCTGAGAATACAACGTTTTTTGACTTGATGTAATAACCGAATGCATGTATTCATAATCCATGTTGTATTCCTAATACATAGAAAAAGATGTATTCATAATCTTATTTTTTTGAGATTTTAGTATCCATAGTTCATGTAAACTATAATCCATGCATTCTTTTATGAGTTCCAAATAACGAATTTTCAAAACTACACATTCTTAGTATACACATAATCTTTAATACACAAATTCTCGTAATACATCATTTCTAGAATCAAAGTTTCCAAAGGATATATATGAATCTTCTTCCTTCCGCTTCCTTTCTTTTTTCTATGATCCATCGAGTTTGGTGGGATTATTAAGATTTGGTACCTACCGACTACGTACGTTAATTGTTTGACTGCGAGCTAGCTTCATGTGACTTCCATCTTCAAAGCCATAGAATATATCGATCGACCAGTTGAATCTCTTGCTACTCTTCTTAAGCAACCAAAAAAACAATACGAGCAAGTTGGATTGTGATGATATCATCGTTACAGTGATATTTAATATTTTTGTAATCAAGTTGATCCCGGTTGGGAAGCCAAGCCATGCATTAATAAAATACCGTAGAGGATGTCGGCCGGAGAAGGAAAGGGTGGATTGGTCAGAGTACATCGGATTAACCTGGACGATTGGGTTGTAAATTGTAATCACTAAGTCACAAAAAAATTATTATCAGATCATTAAAAGGGTGATTACGTGTTATAGGCTTTTTTTTTTTTTTACCAGTCAAGAATGGACTAAATTAATTAGTAGATCCAGTTCTTACCAGGCTAACGAGTACTTGTTCCGTGCAGAGAATGGCAACAAGGGCAAGCTTGGGAAGGCAGCATACTTGGAGAACTGGATCCCGACAATCGCTCCATTAAAAACCGGCGAAACAGCCTACGACGTCACCTTCGAGTGGGAAGAAGAAGAGATCGGGGTTCCAGGAGGGTTTGTAATCAAGAACAATCACCACAACGAGTTCTTCTTAAAGTCTCTCACACTCGAAGATGTTCCTGGGGAAGGCAGGATCCACTTCCCCTGCAACTCCTGGGTTTACCCTGCCAAGCGCTACGCCAAAGATCGAGTTTTCTTCACTAACAAGGTTCGCATAACCGTTGCCTCATGTTCGTGTTTGTGTTAGGTTAAATGACTCCATGGTTGGCTCAATTGTGAGATGTACAAGTACAACTGAACTGAACTAATCCTTTTTCTTGTTGTGGTGAATGGTCGCTAAACTTTAGTCATGTTGCCTCTGATATGATCATGCACGGTGACATTTGTTCCCCTGATGTTTTTCGCCAATAGTCGTATCTGCCACATGAGATGCCATTGCCATTGGTGAAGTACAGAGAAGAAGAGCTGGTTGGCTTGAGAGGAAATGGACAAGGGGAGCTCCGAGAGTGGGACAGAGTGTATGATTATGCTTGCTACAATGATTTATGGGATCCTGATGATGGCGATGCAGACAATGCCAGACCAACTCTGGGAGGATCGGCTGAGTACCCTTATCCTCGTTGGGGAAGGACTGGCAGGCCGCCATCCAAATCAGGTCAACCTTATTTCCAACAGAATGTGTTCACCAGCACAAGTGACTTTGATGCATGAAAAGTATCTATTTACTGTCCTATTTACATTTCATTTTCATTTCTAAGCAGATCCCAAGGTAGAGAGTAGGCTACCACTATTGATGAGTCTAGACATATACGTCCCAAGAGACGAGAGATTTGGTCACCTGAAGATGTCCGATTTCCTTCTTAACGGGCTCAAAGCCATCGTTCAAATTGTGAAGCCTGAACTGGAGGCTCTGTGCTCTGAGGATGGCAATGAATTCGATTCCTTCGATGATGCTTTGAAGCTATACGATGGAGGGGTGAAGCTCCCTCGAGGTCCCACACTCGATAACCTCTGGAAGGATATTCCTTTAGATATCATCAACCTGATTTTCCATACTGATGGGGAAAGGATTCTGAAATACCCTTTGCCAGAAGTGATCAAAGGTACGGTACATATAGGAGTACTACTGTATGTGTGTATAATGTGGCAATGGAGATTTATCGATGTATAAGTTTGGAACTCACGTTTATTTCTTGTTTGTGTTGATGACAATCTTTGAGCAGAGAGTAGGACTGCTTGGAGAACTGATGAAGAATTTGCGAGGGAAATGCTGGCTGGGCTTAATCCTGTTGTCATTAGTATTCTTCAAGAGTTTCCACCAAGGAGCAAGCTGGATGCTAAAGTTTATGGCAATCAGGACAGTTCAATTAGTGAAGAACACCTAAGGCATCAGCTGAATGGATTGACTGTAGCTGAGGTATAGAATCTCTTTCGCTTTGTAAATATGGCTCGACCATTCCAATCCCTTCAATCTAGATGAATGAATTTATAGAATTTTCCATTACCCACAGCTTGATGGACTCGTAATCTGACTAACCTGTAATCTAGTAGAATCATAATCCGACTACATTCAATGATTTGAGACCAGATTGATCCACCCTAAATTTCAACCAACATGCTCACCAGATCCCCTTAACATATAGAACCATCCAAACATGGTCCAACTCCATTAACCGAACCCCTGACATGTAATCCAATCACAAAGCACAATTGACTTGCAGCCAAAAAGCCTAATAGACCAATAATTTGATATATCCCACTGCCTGATCAACTCCTAACCCAATCAACTCCGCTCAGCCCATCCCAAATTGCCCATTTGAGACTTCTACAAATTTGTTCCACATGTTGATGAACTGAAGTATATGTTGCATTTGGCTCTTCAGGCAATCAAGACCAACAAGCTATTCATACTAGATCACCACGACACAATAATGCCATACCTACGGAGGATTAACGACAACACCACCTCCAAAGCCTATGCAACAAGAACAATCCTATACCTGCAAAATGATGACACATTGAAGCCACTGGCGATCGAGTTGAGCTTGCCACATCCCGACGGAGACCAGTTCGGAGCCATTAACAAAGTCTACACTCCACCACCTGCAGATCATAAGGAGGGCAGCCTCGAAGAAATCATTTGGCAGTTGGCCAAAGCATATGTAGCAGTAAACGATTCCGGCTACCACGAGCTCATCAGTCACTTCTTGCACACTCATGCCGTGATCGAGCCGTTTGTCATTGCCACAAACAGGCAGCTCAGCGTAGTTCACCCGATCTTCAAGCTTCTCCACCCTCATTTTCGAGATACCATGAACATAAACGCGCTTGGGAGACAGGTCCTCATCAATGGCGGAGGACTGATGGAGTTCACGCTCTACCCTGCCAAGTACTGCATGGAATTCTCTTCGTCGCTGTATAAACACTGGAACTTCACTGAGCAAGCCCTCCCTCAGGATCTCAAGAAGAGGTAAATTAATAACGAATGAAAATGACATATGACAATTACCAAGTTTTGACTTTTGAGCTCATTCAGGCATTTCATCGAACAACTTGCAGGGGAATGGCGGTTCCTGACCCAGTGTCCAAACACGGTCTCCGACTTCTTATCAAAGACTACCCATACGCCGTCGACGGGCTCGACATCTGGTCAGCGATCAGAAACTGGGTAGCCAATTACACATCATTGTACTACAAAACCGACGATGCGATTCGGAGTGATGTCGAGCTCCAAACGTGGTGGAAAGAACTCGTGGAGGTCGGCCATGCGGACAAGAGAGACGAGCCCTGGTGGCCCAAGATGCGTAATCGAGACGAACTCATCGAATCGTGCACGACTGTGATCTGGATCGCGTCGGCGCTCCATGCAGCCACCAATTTTGGGCAGTACACTTATGCCGGCTACATGCCGAATCGCCCCACCATCAGCCGGCGGTTCATGCCGGAGGAAGGAACGCTGGAATTTGAGGAGATGCGGGAGAACCCAGATAGGGTTTTCTTGAGGACGATCACGGCGAGGCTCCAGACGCTTTTGGGGATCTCGCTGATTGAACTTCTATCGACGCATTCTTCGGATGAGTTTTACCTAGGTCAGCGGGACACGGCGGGGTGGACGGCAGAATTGGAGGCGGAGGCGGCATTCGAGAGGTTTGGGAAGGCATTGACGGAGGTTGAGGAGAGGATTGTGGAGAGGAACGGAGAGGAGAATCTGAGGAATCGGTATGGAGCAGTAAAGATACCATACACTCTGTTGTTTCCGACGAGCGAGGTTGGCCGAACCGGCAAGGGGATTCCGAATAGTATTACTATTTAAAAATTGGTTATTGAATGACGCGGAATTAATGGCTTTGAGTTGGTGGTAAATTTATGCGTGTTGTGTCTTGCACTTGTGTGAATCATGTTAAATGTCTCAAGCTTACTTTTTTTTTTAAGGGAAAATGTCTCAAGGTTACTTGAGTTCATTGTTAGTTGTTGCCCCATTGAACAAGCTCTTTAATCATATATCATTATAATAGGGTGTGAACTTAATGTAATTTGTCTTGTTGATCTATATATCATTATAATAAGGTGTGCAAATTTTCATACACAAACTTCTTTAAAAAATGTGTATATATATTATGCTATTTTCAAGACTCTTAAAAACAATTGAATATGAGTTTATTGTTATTTTGTATGTTCTTATATCGTTAAAAATTTTGTTTAAAATTTTCCTTGTATACTTTACCAAGACTTAGTCAAGTCAACTTTAAAGAGTTGGCCAAATGGTAAAATTGGATGAGAATATCCACCATACTCTCTGGGTTCGAACTTTGAGTATACAATCAACAGAAGAAAAAAAACTAAATTAAATATAAATGAAACTAACATGTTATCAGTATGAAACTCTAAAGAAAATTATATGAGGTTTGGTTGTTCGAAGAATCTAATTACAAAATAAAACAGAAGTAAGAGCTACCACTTCATCAAGATAAGTAAGTTTATATTGAAAGGAAAAGAGATGCAAACCGATGATGGTTGGGTTGCCTCCCACCAAGCGCTTCTTTAATGTCGTGAGCCGGATGATTGCTCTTCAAATTTTGGTCCACCCAAGAACCTCCTTGAAGTTGAGGTTCTTGTCGGTGAGGTGATGTCTCAAGTCACGAGCATTGGACGAGTCCATGATTGAGGGCTCGTGAACTAGAGTGACTTTGAAGCTCCACTCACGAGACCTCTCCTTCTTTCCTTCTTCCTTCTTCTCTTTGCCCCACACCATATAATGCAAACTCGATTTAGTTCCACCGCATCCACAAAGAGGGATCACTGATGGTTTGGCCTTGGCTTGGCAAAGAGCCGCAAACGGGTCCTTCTCCAAAAGTGCACTGAGGTCAGGTGGAAAGCATTGGTAGCTCTTGTAACTTGTGGATGCTTCATCCACCTCGACCTCGTCCTCATCTTGGATACCATTTGATCCTTCTACTTCATCTTCAACCTCCCTTCATTCTTCCTCAATGTGTTCCTACCCTTGGGAACAATCAAGATCTTCCTCCTCTTTGATGCTCTCTTCCTCCTCTTCAACCTCTTCCTTCTCCGTCCCATTCATGTCTTCAAGCACTGTTTGGAGGGCAAGATGCCATGCAAGATCATAGAAAGGATTCTTTTTCTCCTCCATACTCCTGACTTGGTCTTCAAATTTGCTCTCGGGAAGGGTGTGAAAGTCATCAATGCAACCCTCTTGTTCATCCTCACTATGGGAACTCTCCGGGTTGAGTTCATCTTGCTCCACACGGTTTTCATTGATCGCTCCTTCAACCTCCTCTTTCTCCTCCAATGATGAGAGGCGATAGCTTGCACAAGCTCGTGCCACCTTCTCCTCTAGTGTCAAATTGGGAGGAAGGAGGGGTTGGAAATCCATCTTGGAGCTTGTTCTTTTAAAATTCTCCATGGCAAGCTCCAACTTGGACTTCGCTTCGGGTTGTGGGAGATCCAAGTTCGAGCACCCTTCATCGGTGCCCCGAGCAAACCGCTCCACCATGAGCTCGAATTGGCTCTTTGTCTCCGGTTGTGGAGTGGCAAATGTTCTTGAGGATTGTCCCATGAAAGTTTCCATTGCCAACTCCAACTTGGATTTCTCCTCGACTTGTGGAGAGAAATCTTCTTTATATGGGGGAGCCTCTTCATATTCCCATTGGTATGGTTCTTGTTCTTGGAAGGGAGGTTGATAATAGAACCTGGATCCTTGACTTCCACCACTTTGATCGTCCCATGAAGCTCCGAGGTATCCACTCTCGGGTGGTGGTGGATACCCCCACACTTGGGTGAAATCATAAGGGTCCATGATTCAAAAACCTACAAACAACAAAAACACAAAAAAAAAAACACAAACCACCCTTCAAAGCGAAGAGTGGGTCAATAAACACAACACAAAACGGCTAAAGTAACGACCTAACCCTTTTTCAAATAATCTAGAATGGTTCCCTGGCAACGGTGCCAAAAACTTGACTCGTTCTAACTACAACATCCCGATCGACAGGGAAGTATAACCGTCGACTGGGTGTAGCATAGGGCAAGCAAGCAATAAGAATTTATCGTACCACGGGGATCTAGGCTTACCCTACTTCAGGTTTAGGGTTTGCTATCTAGCCAACCTAGGATAGTGATTAATACAGCTAAACTAACTAACCTAGACTAACCACTAATCCTAGCTATTTACAAGGTTTGGGAGTTCTCTTGGGTTAAATCCTCCTATTTCTGACCTTTTGATTGATGTTGAGTACCATCCTAGCTCGATCCACCCATTATCCTACCGTTAGGAAATGAACTCCCTCGGGACGGACCGGGAACGGTGAAGTGATGGATGGGTAGGAGCTCTATTCAACCTAGGGCACCCCTATATCGTAGGAGATCGATCCAATCGACTCCCTCGGGGATTACCCGGACGATATGCGGTGAGGAGTTTTTTCCCTCCTATGTCAAAAGCTCAATTGACTCAATTACTCTACTGTTAGGAGATGGACTCCCTCAGGAATGACCCGGAACGGCGAATCGATGAATGTGGTAGGCTCTATTCAACCTAGGGCAACCCTATATCGTAGGAGATTGATGGTATCGACTCTCTCGGGGATTACCCGGACAATATAGGGTGAGGAGTGACACGAAGATGCCAATAATGGGCTGTAAAGGGATTTTCTCCCTCTTAGGTCAAAAGCTCAATACATGAAAATGGAAACCCAACTCATGTCATTCATGAAAACATCCATATAGGGTTGCAAATGAGCCAAGCCGCTCGTGAGCAACTCGGCGTTCGAATCGAAAAAAACTCGTTCGACACTCGACTCGTTATTTAACAAGCCGGCTCGCGAGCCAACTCGTTAGTTAACGAGCCAAGCTTGAGCTAGACCATGCTCAGCTTGATAAGCTCGCGAGCTGGCTTGATTCTGTGGCTTGTTGAGCTAAGCTCGCGAGCTGCCTTGTTTAGAACTTGCGGAAGGATAAATTACTCTTTTAAACATGAACATTGTCTTGTTAATACAAATGTGTATGAAATTTAGATGTTATTTATAGTTTCTAGTGTTCTTTCTATCATTTAAATTCTTATGTTTACACATTTTTCCAGCAAGAATGATTTTAAATCGAGCTCATCTTGAGCCGAGCTTGTACTCAGCTTGACAAGCTATGTTAATGAGCATTTATCGAGCTCTATCGAGTCGAGCTCGAGCTAGTTTATTTTTATTCAAGCCGAGCTCGAGCTCGAGCTGGATTATCAAAATTCGAGCTCGAGCCGAGCTCGAGCTAAAAAATTAATAAACGAGCCGAACTCAAGCTAAGCAAAAACTCGACTCGACTCGGCTCGTTTGCAGCCCTACATCCATAGTAGAATCGTCAATCAAATATGGAATGTGTCACATACATCAACATTAAACCCAAATCTAGTCCAAAGATCTTCTTTTTCTTCTAGGCTTGAATCCTTGTTTTCAAGATCAACCCAACACACACACACACACACACACTGGATTTCCCCTTTGGTGTTTTGGGTTGAAACCGTCGGGCACAGTTCACGGCCGCGTTGATCAGTTCACGATGTTAGAGACAGTGAACTGACGACTTCACGGTTTGGGGGTTTAGTTCACGGTCTTAGAGAGCGTGAACTGTTGAAGCCAGTAACCAATAGAATCGTGATGGAAATTGGTCACTTCACGGTTTGGGCTTTCAGTTCACGGACTTAGAGATCGTGAACTGGAGCTAAGACCGTGAACTGAAGCTCCAGACCGTGAACAGGGCTCAACCTCCACTTTTTGGCTCGTTTTGACTTCTGAATGACCCGAAACTCGTCCCGAACCTTCCCAAATGTACTAGGACTTGAAATGTAACAAAACAAACACAACCTAACATAAAATAGGTCGATGGACAATAATCTACTAAGTCTAACGAATAAGAAATGAGAGGTAAAATATGTACATTTACACCCGAAGCATTAATCTTTTGGCTTGCGATTTGATTCATACCTATAATCATTATCGTATATCATAATCTCGTAGAATAAAGGTTCTGTTTGTCGATACTATCATGAATAAAATTGTTCAGATGGATGCCATGGAAAAGGTTGCAATTCGATTTCAGTTCTCTTCTGCTGCTCCCAGCTATGGAGTTCCGAATCTGGTGAGTTTCTCCCCCACCTCCATGTCTGCCAATCTTCTCTTTCTCCAGAATATTTTTTTTTCAACTGGTATTGATTCATGTTGAACTACAAAAGTCGAGTTCGGTGGAAACTGAAAGCATCTTCCATCTTTTTTTATCTTTCACGCGTCAACTTTGTCTCGAGTTATCGCCAGGCGCAGCTGGCTCGTCCGTCGACGACAATTTCTATGGAAAGCAGGAGACCGACTTCTTCTATTTCACCAGTTCTCCATAATTTTATTTCCAAGCTCACGAAGTTTCGATTGGAATTGATGGGGTAAGTCGTCCGCTTGAATATAGCAGGAAAGGTGTTTGATGAAACGCATAGAAGAATCATTATCCTTTGCATTTCAACCTGTGGTTTGTTCAATTCTTTGATTGGAGTCCCACCAATAAATTACCTCTGTGAGTAGTGATTTGTGGATCTGGGACGCGAATCGACTTTATCATATTTAACATCTCTGATTTTTGGGTCTGTGAGCGGTGATTTGTTGTTCTGTTTTCACTCAGTTATCTGTTCGTGTTATATCACTGTCTTGTTCAAGACAGTCAAACTACACTTCTAAGAACATGGCTGAATTAAATGATTAGAAGAAGATACTGTTTCAGATTGTACATGGCAGTGATATATAGAGTTAGTTTATAGCACTCAGTCTTCTGCTTGCTCAATTTGAATTGCAGGATCAAACCACTGGAGCTCCCCTTTCTTATGTGTCTCGAAGTTGGGTACGATCCAAGCGCAATTTGTGTATTTCTTGGTATCGCACCAGTCATCGCTGTTGTATCCGCTCCAGAAAGTATGGAACTTTCTTGTTTTAAGAGAGTAGAACACGCCATCCTTCCTGCTAAACCTATCCAAGAACACCTTGTTTCCTAAGCCGGAAATCTGCACTCCACTGGTGGTTGCTGATAACAAAGAAGTATAGCTAAAAAACAGCATTGTGTCGTCCAGACTGTCTAGTTCTTCCCAAGCCATGGATTCTTGATTCATC